CTTTTCTGAGTTCGACGCTATTTATTTGGTAGTTGAATCTAGGGTTATTTCGTCCTATGTGTAAAACTGTACAATTTTTTTCATTTAGTTTTACCTGCCATGTGGTTGTCCATTCTTCTACAGTTTTCCTTTAGTTGATGCAGTTGTGTTACAGGATTTCCATATAGTTTTTTGTCATCTGCAAAGGATTCTACTTTGGTTTTAATAGATTTTGACAGATCAGAAATGTACACTAGAAAAAAAAGAGAAGCAAGCACAGATCCTTGTGGTACTCCGGTGACGACTGGGTACCCATCAGAGCTGGTTACATTTGCTCGAACATAGAAAGTTCTTTGCTTAAGAAAGGAGCTGCTCCATTGTAGGTACTTGCCTCTTATTCCATAATGGCTCAGTTTGTGACAGAGTTTCGCGTGTGGTACTGTGCCGAAAGCTTTCTGAAAGTCAATATATATGACGTCAATTGGCTTGCCTTCGCCTAGGTTTATAGACCAGTCATCCAGGCAGCTTAGTAGATTTGTTGTAGTAGACCTTTTTGGCAAAAAGCCATGCTGAGTAGGAGGTATGATGTCATCAATTAATATACCAAAACCACATAGGGACCATAAACTTCATTTCAGATTTCCCATACTAGGATCTAGTTTTTCAGCTTCGTTCAAGTGTGATAATTATTTTCTTAAGCTTGTGATCTTTGCTTGAATCCATGTTTTCCATGGTGGTTCGCTACATGCATTGTATGCCTTAGTTCTTTCTTTTTTCTTTTCGGGTATGAGGATGTTTTGGATGTTCTCAACGATTGCATTGACCTGTGTTGTTGATGATTTGGCTTATTGTTTTCTTGATGATTTGGCTTTTTGTTTTCATTGAGAAACTTTGTCGATACATATTACTTCGTTTGCCATGGCCTCCACTTGCTCTAAGATTAGTCTTTTTAAGTTGATATCAGTTTCACTGTTGGGAGCATCTATCTTTTCATTGCAGTTTAGTGTCAGGTGTTCATAGATGTCGGATTCTTTTGGACTCAAATTGCATTGGTTCTGACCGGCGTTTTCAGGGATACTGAGTTGTTTCAATTTTTGATGATACTGATTGTTATTGATAGTTCTTGCTCACGAGCTTTGTTGGTCGTTTTGTATTTGTTCTTTTATGAGCTGTTGAACTTTGACTACTTCTATGAGTATTTTATTGTTATTTATATTTCTGTTCTTTTTTTCTCGGATATATCGAGATAATAGCCATACGAATGGGTAAAATTTACCAAGTCTGTATGACGTTCTTACTATTGTTTTACAAATGATCTAACAATGCTGCTTGTTTTCAGGATAACCACTTTTTGAACAGTATTAGTGGAATAATATATACTTTTTTTTGGTTCCAGATTCTTTCTACTTCGATTGCTAGGGGTATATATTTTTCTATTTTCTCACTGTATTTCTTTGTTACTTCAATATCTGCCGGAACAAGGTAGATTGTTTTTTGTTTTTTATCTACCAGTGTTATATCAGGTCTATTGGCCGGTATTGTTTTATCTGTGTGAATTGTTAAGTCTTAGTATAGTTTGTAGTTTTTATCTTTGAGAATGCTTTCGGCTGTATATTGGTCATATTATGCTTAGGCCTCTTTCATAAGGTTACGCAATTTCTTGGTGTATTATTTTTGCTGCTATATTATGTCTTTCTGTATATGACGTTCCTGCTAAAATTTTACAGTCCCTTATGATGTGCTCTACATTTTCTTGCTGAAGGTAACATTTTCTACATAGATAATAATCTATGTTATTGAATATGTGTTTTTGGTAACTTTTGGTGGCATCACTTGATCCTGAATAGCAAGTAGGAATCCTTCAGTTTCTGGGAATAGTTCACCTTTCTGTAACCATTTATATGTGCTTTGTCTGTCAATATTTTCTTTATTCATTATATGTAAGTGTTTCCCATGAAGTATTTTCTGTGCCCATTGTTCACTTCTTTCTTCACGATAATTATGTTTTTTCGCATATTGTAGGATAGTTCTTTTCTGATAGATTAAGGGCTTATATTTTTGCTCTCGATTAACGAATTAGATACATTGTCAAAGTTTTGCATGGGCCAAGGTTTATAAGTATGATATGGTTAGAGCACATTCTAACCCCTGATTATTTTTAACGGCTATCAAATGAGAGCAAAAGTATCGGCACTAAGTGGTGTATATCCATTATCAGCTAAGGATATTGCTTCATGTAAGGAGTTTGATTCACCATGAAAGAAGCTTCTTAGAGTTGCTATTTGTCTTGCGTGCAATAAGTGAATATCTATAAGTCCTCTTCCTCCGTCTTCTCTCCTTATGGCCATTCTCTCTTTACAGGCGTTAGGGTGGTGTTTCCTGTGTATTGTGAGTTATTTGTTTGTGGATTGGTGGACTTTGTCTATGACGGTTTTTGTCCATTTGATTATTCCATAGGAATACGTGAAAAGAGATATAGCGAATGTGTTGATTGCTTTAAAGAGGTTTTTCGAGTTCAATTTAGATTTAAGGAGCAGTTTTAAACAGGGATCCACCGATACGGTTTTTTTTTCTTCAAAAAACCGATTTTGCCGATACCGATACGATATGGCTTTATAGAAGGCCGATACCGATATAAGGCCGATAGGGATTCTCGCACCTTTTCCTTTAGTTTGAATGTTTTATTTGTTTTCTCGCACCTTTTCCTTTAGTTTGAATGTTTTATTTATTTGTTTTCTTCTAGTTTTAATATTGTTTGTTCGAGTTCAGATAAGCAGAAAGTTTAGTTTTTTTTTTTAAATAAATAAATAATTTTGAATTTGAGTTTAGATACGCAGAATGTTAAGTTTTTTTTTTACATAAATACCTAATTAATTTAAAATAAATTTATGAAAAACAATTTCTAATATTTACTTTCTTCTTAGTCACTCCCATATGTACGAACCACAATTATTAGCTCTTTTAAACTTCAAAAAAACCTTAGTGATGATTACTGATCAAGTTATCGGCCAATGAAGGGCCGATATACCGATACACCGATATACCTGAAAAAGGCCGATACACCGATATACCGATATGCCATATCGGTATCGGTCGATCCCTGGTTTTAAACGAAGAATAATGCCTTGGCAATTCCTTTTTGATGAGAGTGTGTTCTAGCCTTGTATTCCGCTCAAATCCTAAGTACTTATAGGTTTCGTTTTCGTGCATTTTGTTTAGTGTCTGCTTCTGTAATGTTTCATCTGTAATATCCTCCATCCATTTTCCCTTCTGAATTACTAACATTTTACATTTACTCATGCCGAATTCCATTCTGATGTCTATTGTTATATCTTCTACAGTTTTAAGTAAACCTGCCATTTGTATTTTTGTTGAAGCATAGATTTTGATATCGTCCATGTAGAGTAGGTGGTTTATTTTGTGTTTTATTTTATTTTGGTGCTTTATGTTGAATCCGTATGATGTTGAGTTTACAGTGTTAGATAGAGGATTTAGGCATAGACAGAACCAAAGTGCACTTAGCGAGTCGCCCTGAAAAATTCCGCAGTTGATGGGTATGATCTGTTTGCAAATGCTCATTGTCTGTATTTAAATGAATTTTCGTTTTCCATTTCGTCATGGTTAATGAGAGAAAATTGCAGAGTATTGGGTGTTTTCTATAGATTTGTAATACTTTTCTTAGCCAAGAGTGTGGGACCATGTCAAATGCTTTTTTATAGTTGATGTAGCACGTATGTAGATTTCTGAGCTGTTCTTTACATCCTTGACTGTTTTTCCGACATCTCTTCTGTTCCTCTGTAAGTAAGTTTTGATCCATTTAATGTTCCTCTATTTTTAAACATATGCATGGAGTAATTATTTTGTAAAGATTTTGTGTGATTGGCCTATAATTGGCTGTGTTTTTTGTGTCATTATCTTTCAGTATTAAATAAGTATTTCCTTCGGTTAAGAACGCCGGTAGGGAGTCAGGGTGTGAAATAACTTTGTTTATTTCAGATGTGAGGGATGGGTGAATGGCCGACAGTTGTTTATACCAGAAATTGTCTATTCGATCAGTTCCTGGGCTTTTCCAATTAGGTGTTTTTACGTATAACTTCTGTAGTAATTTTGTAATTTGTTTGCTCTTGTACGTTTGATTGCTTCTTCATGTTTAATCCATGTGGCTGTACTATCGTGTTTTACATTTTCAGACCATATGCACTTCCAGAAAGATGACATATCTGTTACGGTAGGAGATGTGATTTTCATTTCCCTTTTTTGGGGCTTTTGATGTGGAGGTCTGACTGAGAATGTTTGACAGTCTAGTGCTGTCCAAACTGAAATATCCAAGCATTATCTGGTGACCCTTATATGAGGCCTGGAGTAAATCATTGGAAAGAATTCAGAGGAAATTCCTGAAACATATGTTTCTTAAAAGATATGGATGGGTACCATTCTCCACAAGGATACAGTCACTGCTTTCTGCTAAAACTTTTCAATAGAAGAAAAAAAATATATCTGACCTATATGTTCAAAATCCTTAAAAACCAAATAGAATGCCCAGATTTTCTTGCAAAGCTACTCTTTGCCATAAATGTGGGTGGCACCAGACAGAAGAAGGTATTCTATTTAAATTTTCCCCGAACAAACTCTTATAAGGCGTCTCCTATGTATAGTATGTGTAATCTTTTTGATATTTTTGCCAGTGACCTGGACTTGGACCTGCTTAATTTAAAGGCTTTCACTGAAAAAATAGATAAATGACTGCATGAGTTTCAGGAACAGGCCGACTGGTAATGGCTACATAAGTTTTCTTGTGTTATACTCATTTTGTACTTTTAGATTTAAGATTTGATTAAATTGATTGGATTGTTAGGATGTGTCTGGAAATGACAATTTTCTGTACATACTCTGATGAAATAAATAAATAATGTAAGCTTGTTATGACATTGGATTTGGGATCGATTTACATCATCAAATTATGCACGATATTGGTATGAAAAATATCTACATATACCAAATCATACTTTACATACACTTACTTGGCTTTATTATCGAAAAACGAAGGCATTTTAACTTCTTCCTTCAAAAATTCCAAGTCAATTTTTTCCAAAGGTAACTTTTTAAAAGTTGGAGTAATTTTGTCGAGATCGTTCATGAATTCGGCCTCCAATTTGAAAGGCCCCTGCACTTCCTGTCTAGGTGGCTCCGGAGCTACAGCTGGAGGCAACCTAAAAAACCACACATTGAATAATCTAGAGTTTGAAGGTTTTTTAAAATGTTTACGTTGGTACTGGTACAGCCATCGCTTCATCCTCGTCCATGTCCGGTTCTTCTTCAGGTTGCTGTTGCCTAACAACAATGGTCTCATTGGTAGCCACTCCATTTCTAGAAAATGGTGGTACTTCTGCTACAGTTACATTAGCCATTGAAATTTTAGGAGCAATAGTCTTTCTAGTTGATCGTTTAATACGTTCCTCCAATAGGGACATGTCTTTGTCTGATATCTAAGCAAAAAACTTAAGCAAATAAGCAAATAATGAACATTTCTGTAATATATAAATTTTGCAATTGGTGTTAATGCCTCAGATTACTAAAGAATAATCATAGAAAAAAAACTTGCCTTGCTCTTAGCAGTACATTTCAAATACAATAACCTTAAAATTCTCTAGAAAGCAACTTTTTTTACTGAAGTAAATTGCTGCTAATCGAGGCAAGAAAAGCTATTGCAAATGAAATTATTTTTGTATCATAAGTCTTACAAGATTCTATAGCCTTAACGAAAGCCTGTATAAAATAAAAAAAATGACTTAAATGACATTGGTTGATATACCTTTGGGTTTACAGTAGCAAGATTTTAAACTCTTTGTTACCAAGATTACAAAGGTGAGCCGCAAGTTTTTTAGTTTGAACTTCATATTGATTTATCATCATAGGCAAATAATTCAGACAAACAGACATTGAAATAAAAAATCACTTACGTTTCCAACCATTTTATAAACTTTTTCCCCAACAATATTATAGGCATTCACCACACAATTTAGAGCAGCATTTCTCACAGAATTATCCCTGTCCGATATTTGCTTGGCTACTTCTTTAAGACAAGCCGTTGGTGAGGGTTGACAAACAGTTATGCCGTAATCTTCAATCATACAGCCCATAACTTCAAGACATTCGGCTCTTTGACGAGAGTTTTTCGTTTTGACACCTTCCATTATGTAAACAGAAAGGCGACTCACTGGGAAAACACCGCTGATTTGTTTTAGCAGTGCTCTAACACCACTTCTGACTGAATCTTTTTGATCACCAATCTAAACATATTTGTATGTGAAAAATCGCAATTATTTATTAATACATTTTTGCTTACTTTTAGCACTAAATAAGGTATGAAGCATGAGCCTTCACTTTCCAGCATGCGATACTGTTTTTCAATCAACATATTGAAAACACAATGCAAATACTCAAGCCCTTTAATTAAAACTGAAGGATTGGTATCAAAGAATCTCAATGTAAGCCATTTTAAGATCAAATCCAAGTTGGAAATTAGGGCCTCACTGTGATCTGGTAAGTCTTCCATTAGAGATTCAATTGCTCTAATATGATATCTTGAACAAACATTGTAAGCAAAAACATTTAAAAAACTCAAAAAGAATTCTTACCGAAAATCTGAATGGAACATATTGGCCATAAGCATTCTATTTATATTAGCAGCAGTCATTTGGTCTTTTAATAAATCCACAAATTCTTCCCGAGGCGAGGTGAAATTCCATCTTAAAACTTTTAACTTTGATTCGTCTATGGTTCTTTGGTGTTTGAGATTGTTGACTACCAATAACGGTGAAGTATCTACATCTTCATCCTTTTTTCTGCTCGCTGCTGTCGCTGCAGGTTTCGCTCCTGCACTATTCGCCTAAAATTATAGAATTATCAAAATGTTCAAAACATTGATGGAAATTTGCATACTTTTGGTTTAACCGCATTTTGTTTATTGGCCACTGGTTTTGTTCCTTTCACAGTTTTCTCCTCCGTTGCCGATGCTTTTTTGGGCAAAGGTTTCACTGGTAAATTTGGCCTGGCTTTCTCCAAAGCGGCTGTGACTACTGTTTTGGAACTGGGTTTGACTTTTTCAGTTTGTTTTAGCATAGATTCATACCCTAATGGAAAATAATAATTTTTAATTTAAAAATGGAATAGAGATTGCTTTGCAAGTTTTTGACAGAAAAGGAGAAATGATTTTTTAAAAAAAGTATCAATTTGCATTAAAACTAGGACATTAGTCCATTAACTCTGTCAAATAGTGGTATCTAGACATTCTCAAATCACTAAGCAATGTCTAGAAAACATACCTAAATGAATCATAATTCCCAAGACTGCTTCACCAGCATTTTTCCTTACATCGGCATTCCTATCCTCTAGATTAGTATACAAATGTTGGACACAAGCGTTAATTTCTTCCTTAGGAACCCCTTTAGCTGGAACTTGAATGACAAAATTAATTTCAAAAATAAATCAACCTAAAATTAACCTACTTTTTGGCAAAGCTTCAGCCAACCAGTTCCATAGTTCTGTCCTGAGAATCGGTGAGCCCGATTTCAAAGCATCAGCAATCATTTCACCGTCGAAAAATTCCTTGTAGCCAGATTGTTCCACGAAAACATTGATAGTATCTAAGGCGGTAGTTCTCATCCAAGCCTTACTGTCACCCAAATCTAATTATCGGAATTTATAATTCAAACAACAAGTCCTAAAAATATTCACTTACTTTGTACAAATCCTGGGAACCAAGTCCTTATAAACTGCTTTGAAGGAGGTCCCATAGCTTTAGCAATAGACTGGCAAATATTAAGGGCAGTCTGTGCAATTTTAACATTACTATCCGTTAGCCTTACAGCTAATGGTTGCGGCAAGTCTCCCAAGTTTGGCATGATAAATTTCGCATCTTGGACTATGGCACTGATTTTGTTTAAAGCCTCAATTCTGTCTTTCCAATTTTTGTCACTCATCTCATTGAGTAAAGCTTCAGTTATCTGACCACTGATATCTACTCTTGGCAGCAAGTCTTGTATGTTTATAGGTTCTGGTTGCTCAACATCATCCTCAATAGCGTCTAAGCTGTTAGAACTGGCTGATTTAGCTACAGCACCTAAAAAAAGTCAAACCAAAAATTATTGTTTTAGATTTTTCTAAAAGTTTCCTCTTGCCTCTGGTTGGTGCTGGTGCTACTTCTCCTTCATACTTGTCAAACTCCGCATTAATTTGATCTCGTAGAGCCGCTTTTTCATTTTCCAAAAATACATGTATAGTAGCTCCCATGAAGAGGTACATAATACCAAACATTGTTATGGCCGCCTGTCGTACTCCAGGGTTAGTGGAACCGAGACCCGTTTTACAGTATTCAATTAGGGATTTGATGTTTATGCCACTGAAAAGTAAGTATTATATTTATCAAAGTTAGGATATAAATCCAAAAGGTAAATGTCTGTATGACTTTATAATAGGTAATGATCTATCTGTTCATATGCAATAACGGCACAATACCAACTTTCTTAAATTCTCGTAGTCAAACTGTAATAGATATAACACTAATGTAGCCAAAGTGCCATACCACCCTCCCAAACTTACCTGATTCCAAATTCCTTTACAGCTCCTGATAACCAAATCAAAGCTTCTTGTTGGACTTTAGGATTTTTCTGACCGAAAGCCGCTTCTAAAGCAGCAGCAGAAACGTGACCCAAACTAGTAGCTTCAGCCATAGCTGTTAATGTTTCCGCTACGGTAGCACCATTTTTAGCATCGCCAAGTTTTTCAGAAATGTCGTTTATACAACAGTTAACTGTGGTGGTAGAGAAAGTACCATTTTCTGCTAAAAACTGGAAAAATCACATTATTATTTGGCTGAAAAAAATTAAACAAATCAAGCCATACTTTGACTATTTCAAGCTTCATTTTCAATACTTGGAAATTTGTATCCTTAAGGCCAGGTTTTTTCATTAACGTCTTGATTAGGGCCTGCGTTGGAATCAGTTTAGCTTCCATTGATTGAATCGTAGTTAAAATTTCTTCGGCTGAAGCCAATCTGAATACAAGTTTAATCAAAATCATTAATTATGATTGAAAATAATGAAAATTTACCTGGTCTTCCATACGGGGTTTGACAACTCCAACACAGTATTGCCAGGTAACAAATTTTCAATAATACCCTCGACTTCGAGATCGTCCAGTTCTTTTTCAACTTTTGGAGCTGCTTTTGTGGATGCTTTGCCGCCTTTTGATCTGACAACAGTAGCAGAACCTGAAGAAACAGTACTAGCAGATGGAGTTTTCTTTTTAACAGCTGTGCTACCTAATGATGATAAAATAAAATAAAATGGAAAATAAGCAAACGACAAGGCAACATAAATTAATAATGTTTATGAGTAAAATATTAGTTTGTTACCTCCAGCAGCTTTTCTCACTGGTTTTGCAACTGCAGGTTCTTTAACAGGAGCAGATTTGGTTTTTTTAGGTGCTACCACTTTAACAGTTAAAACAGCTTTGTCATAAAACTCCCGTATCTTCTCCATTTTTAGTTTGTCCTTTTCCAAATCAACCAAAAAAGGGGCTATAGATTTTTCTCCAACTAGTTTCATTAGAGTGCCCAACGCCTCAGCTGAGGATTCCCTCACTCCTTTATCTGATTCATTATTATTCTTAATTAAAGCTGTAGAGAGAGCTTTGAGTAATTTTTTATTCACTGTCGTCGGCTGGGTCTTTGTGAATGCTCTGGCCAAAAATAATGATACTTCCGATTTTACCGTGGGATTTTTGTTGTTTAGAGCCTCCAAAACATCTTCAAGAATAGCATCTAAGTTTGTCTGCAAATCAGAGTTGTGATTAAAGTATACTAAGCAAAATAACTTTATTTTTACAGTTAGATAAGTGGCATCAATGGCCTCCCTGACAGCAGTAACAACATTTTGTTTTTTTTCTTTGAATTTTTCCAAAAGTGGTGAGACCAATTGTCCAGCGTAATTCTGGAACCGCTTTTTCAGTCCAGTAGCTAGGCCAGTTATACATCTGGCTGCTGAAGCTACACACACCACATTTGAGTCTTTTTGAATTACCTGCAATAATTTGGAAATAAATACATTATACATAGGTACTAAAAAATTTATTAACGTACTTTCTTGAGCGCTCGAATAAGATCGCCATAATCACCATTTTCTAATTTGGGATTTTTCAATAATGTTTCCACTGCGTCCAGGGCTTCTTTTCTGTCTTGCCACTTTTTGGCTTCGATCTTCTCATGAAAATCTTTTGGTAGTTTCGACAAAATGTCAACAGGATCGACAAGATCGTAAGGATCAATATCTTGGGGGGGCTCATCCACATCAGCCTCTTCTTCTTCATCTAATGTGAGTACAAAATAAAAACTGTGCTATTTTAAAGAATTTAGAAATCGACAGTATGACACAGTGCTCATAACAATAAATTCAATTGCTGTTTATGATTATTTTCTTGGCACTAAATGCAAAACATAAATTCATAGAAGAATCTCTATTACATACCGTTGCCGTCTTCTACAGCCGCCTCTGCCAATTTCGCTTGTTTTTCTTGTTGCGACCGAATATATCTCGTCGGGACAGCTTTTTGACCTTCAATTTTCGCAAATTCCGTTTCTAATTCTGTCATTTGTACCGGTTGTAAGTTTGCATTTTGCAAATGATTCCTGTTATAGAGACTCAGCTTTAAATTTCGAAAAACATTTCTATGCCTCACCTTAAGCTAGGACCCATCCATTTGTGTAACTCAATAACCATATTACGAGCTTCGTCTCTCACAGTCTTGTCTCTGTCCGAAAATAAAGTGCCGATTTTTTTAATCAGCGGTTTAGGGCTTATGATTTTGATGCCGAATTCGCGTAGGGCTGTAGTCAAAGATTGGATGCAAGCAGACACGATTTTGGGATTTTTCTGTTCTGTGCCTTTCAATAGTTCTTCTGTTACCTAAAAAAATTTTGAATGTTTTCAAAAGTAATACATAACGAGTTTGATGATAATAATTAGTAGTGACGATCTTATCTACTTGAAAATAAGGTGGTGGATGTAGTTTTTTCAGAGACATTAAGCATCTAAATCAACTGTGGAAATGAAAAAAAAATAAAAATATGATGAAAACAATACCTAATAATTTTTGAAATACATAATAGTTCTCCTTTTTTTTTTGAATGGAAAAGATTTTTTCAAAACTTTTTTTTTGTAAAAAGCAGTTGAATTCTTTTTCGTTTATTATAATCATTAATAAATATTACCACATAAAATTGAGTCTCAGTTTTATTTTTTTATGAACAAATACATTTTTCTACTCGCGTACGTAAAGTTATTACTTTGCACTCTCATGGATTTGAACTTTGCACACGGAAACTCTTTGAGCACTCATTTTTGTTTCGCATAATTACCGTATTCATACAGTGATTTATATTCGATTTTTCAATGTTTTGTGGGTATCTAGATAAACTAATATTCAAAAAGAAGGGCTTGATGGTATTTTTATTCCAAGAAAGGCATTCATGAAATGTTTAGGTTTTTTTAATTTGACACTTTTCGTATGAGGAGCGAGGGGAGGAAAAATCCAGCAAAAACAGATGTGAGGGCAGGTGATCATTGGCGTGGGGAGCCACCAACTCACATTCCTTTGGAGTTTCAGATCATAAAAGTTGGACAGTGAGTTATACTCCTCCATATACTTCCAAACTTAATGGTGTTAAGGTTGAAAACACAATATTGAAGAATTTGGATTTTTTACTTGGATGATTACCTTCATCATATTTTGCTGCTGGGCCGGTATTCTCGTTCTCGAAAACGCTTACCGCGTTTTAGTCGCTCGGCACTTTTAATGTAAATTCACATTGAAAGTTCCGAGCGACTAAAAAGCGGTGAGCATTTTCGAGAACGAGAATACCGGCCCTGGTCTCTATACTACACCTTTTTCAACAAAAATGCAATTATTATTCCACCCCTTTTTTTCTATTTTCTTCCGAACTATTAGAAATAAAACTACAAAAACCTAGTATATTTGGAATCAGGTTTGAAAGGTTAACCCAATGCGTCAATAATATATGGGGTGTTCCATTTAAAAAAGTTTAACTTTGCTTTGCCTTACTTTTGCGACACACCCTGTATACTTGTAACTAACTTCTTTGAAAACTTTCTGATATCACCTACAACTTCGACATTTGACATTTCTGGGTATCTCTTCAAACAGGTGAGATAGGTGTGGGAGCAAAATATAGACAATCACCCCTACTCAACTTTTTTGTGCCACTGTGTATAAAAAAAAAGTAAATAGGAAAGGTGTAGTGCTTGAAAAATAGTTCTCAGAAAACATAGTTTTGTTCATACAGGGTGTTGCAGAATGCAGAAAATTCAAAAAACATTTTTTTTTTTCAAGTGGGACACCCTGTAATTATCGAATATTCCGATTCTACATAAAATTCTGATCAGATTTCATGTGATATACACTATACCTAGGTTCACCTGTTTTGGAAATATTGACACTTGAAATTTGCCTTTTTTGCAACTTTGACAGGTTGTAAAACCTAAATGCGTTATTTCACAGTAAAACTGATTTTACATTCTCATCTGTTAACCCCCCCCCCCCCCCCCCCCCCTTCCACTTGATCAGAAAGTATAATTAAAAACCACTTCTGGAAATTATATTCTCTACATATAAAGCTTTTGACCTTGAAATTCTACAAAAGTTTCGTCTGTGGCGCGATCTTTTTTTCTGACACCCCTATGGTCATGCAATGTTTCTTAATTTCAATAGCGAAAATCGAAGTTTTCTGGCTACGCGCCTACAGCCATCCGTTGACACCTTGGACCATACTTTGAGTTTAACCGGAGATTAAACTTAATTGGAATTTTCAATCATGGAATAAATTCAAAGTTGGTGTCAAATGATGATGATGAATTATGAAAATTTAGGACAAGAATGTAAAATCGGTTTTGCTCATAGAGAAACAGACCAAAAAGAGAGTAGCGAATTAAACGAGAGAGATCGGCACCGCATTCCTTTATGCCTGTAGCGCAACGCAGAAGTCGCAAAGTTGTCCCTTTATTTATCGCGTCGGGATTCGACCTACGTGCTCGTTTCCGTCTCATTCTAGCAACATTGAAGCACTACAGAAGAAGAAGGTAACAGAACAGTACATATTTCCATATTAACTGACACATGCTGTTGTTTACGTAGATAAACCTAGGTAACCTCAGTTCACTTCTAGGAAAATTATTGAAAAAAATAATTTTCTATTTTTCCATTAATTATCCATTCAACAATTGTAATATAAGAAATGTGAACAACGGGCTTCCGAGAGCTCAGGTCAGTGTTGTATTTTTTTATATTGCATAAATAATTACATTATACTTATTACTTGTTTTATTTTTATTATTATGTTATGTTATTATATAAAAATTCACATGGGTTATGTTGATGTTGCGATAAAAATGTAAATATTGGCTCCTCCTGGAAAAATTGTTATTTTCAAGTGAAATAAAAAGTAAAAAGTAGTGAATACTCAAAAATACTTCAAAGTATATGTGTAGTGGTAGTAGTGCCAGTTCCATTATATGGGGCGTGCTGAAATACTCTTTAAGGGGCAAAATTTCAAATTCTAACCTCAAATAGCACCTGAGTTGAAATATTTTACAATAATAATAATTGTGCATAATGGGAAAAATAACTGGTTCAAAAGGAGGAAAAAACCCTAATCCTGTAAAATTTCAGCCACAGAAAAAGGTGTATGTATGTCCAGATTGCACCAACAATGTTACAAAAACACAACACAGTATATGTTGTGGACAGTGCAATGAGTATTATCATAAAAACTGCTCTAAGCTTACTTCATTGGAGTATACAGCGTACGCAAACCAAGAGATGGATGAGCTATGGGTTTGCTCCAAATGCAGCAACCCTAGCGAAAGTGAAGATGGCTCGGATTCTGAGGCAGAGAAAACTAAGCCTGTATCAAACAAGCGACTCAGCCAGTGCTTTGGGCCAAGTACAACTAATCTTGGCAACCGCGATCCTGCTCCAAAAAGAAGTGTTGGTGGCAGTGACAAAATGGATATTGAGGATGTCGTAAAAATCTTCAATGATCGGTTTGAAAAATTTGAAGAGTCACTAAATTTTAAATGGCAAATAATTGAAGAAACAAATAAGATGGTTAAAGATATACAGAAAGAAAACAAACAGCTGAAACGAGAAAACGAAGCTATACAAAAAAGAGTGAAGAAGCTCGAGACTAAAGTTGAACTTTTGGTCTATAAGCAAGAAAAAGACCAATTGCAAACATAGAAAAAGAACATAATCATTTCCGGACCATTGGTCACTAAAGAAAATATCTGTGGAACAGTAAAAAAGGTGTTTCAAGCTATCCATGTATCGCTTCAGGAATCTGAATATAAGTCAACAATTTTGCCTAGTGCACGAGAAGAGAAACCAATTTTAGTGCAATTCTCTAGTGAAGAAATACGGAATAAAATAATAGAAGCAAGGAAAAAAGTACAAAACCTAGATACTGTATTGTGTGGATGCACAGGGCCGCAGAAAAAAGTATATATATCAGAGGATCTGGATAAGAAAGTAAGACAGCTGCTAATGGAGGCAAAAAAACTAAAAGGAGACTCTGGGTATGCATATGTTTGGGTGAAGAATGGGCAGATCTATGTTCGAAAAGCAGAAAATTCGAATGCTATTCGAATAAAGGACCTTGCACATGTCGAACAGCTACTTATTTAGGAAAAAATTTGCTTAACAGTTAACAACAGGTAAATATCCTTAAGATAAACAATGGCTATCAATGACATTCTTGATGATTACGAAGTTTGCGATACTTTAATCTGTGATTCGCTAAATGAGGCAAGCTTCTTAACGAACTCTGATACTAATCTAAATGTTATTCAAATTAATATAACTAGCATATATAAAAATATAGATAACTTTTTGGTCTATTTTGAAGCATATAGGAAACCTTTTGATTTAATAGTTATGTCTGAAACCCACCAAATTCATGATGTCAATGATTTTAAAATACCAGGTTACGAACTACTTCATAATGAAAGTTGCAAAAATAGATGTGATGGATTCGTTATATATGTTAAATCTAATATTTTTTTGAACTATAGTTTACATAAAGTAAATAATTACTGTTTTTTGAAAGTTCTTGTGGAAAAAAATAATAGGAAGTTTCAGGTTTTTGGGACCTATAGATCACCAAAACTAGATAAGCTGCAATTTATAAGTTCACTGGAAGACTTGTTCGGTGAGCATTTGTGTGATAAAGTTGATGCTAGCATTTTTCTTGGGGACATAAATATTAATCTCTTGGAAAACCAAAATAAAGCTCTAGATAGGTATCTGAATTGTCTTGCAGTCTATGGCTTTTCTTGTAAAGTTAGGGGGGTAACAAGAGAACGGGGAAACCAGAAAAGCTGCCTGGATCATTGTTTTATTAGAAGTAAAAATAATTATGTGCAGCAAATGTCTACTGCAATAATAAGAGCAAAAGTAAGTGACACACATGATCACTACCCAGTAGTTATTCAGTTCAAAACAAAAAACAATATTAGCCAAGAGTCTGACAATAATATCACACGCAAATTTATAGAAAAGCTAAACTATGGAAAATTCAAAAGGCTGCTTGAGCAGGAGCAGTGGAATGACATTTTTGAGATAATGGATGTGGACCAATGTGCCAGGTCCTTTGTGGAAAAATTAGAACAAAAAATAAACCTCTCATTAGAACAAAAACATATTACAAACAAAGATTTTCGTATAAAACCTTGGATATCGGCTGGACTGCTAGTGTCCATAAGAAAAAGAGATAAATTGAAAAAAAAATATGCCCAAAACCCTACTGATGTTATTGCCCGTAATAACTACCTCAAGCATAGAGATATGCTCTCTAAATTAATAAAAACTTCCAAAATAAATTATTACAGGCAAC